ACTGACTTAAATCAATCAATCAAATCCACCTGTTCCAGTTTCCTATTGTCCCAGATTTGTGAGTAAGTTGAGTCAGTCGGGAGGAGTTGAATTTCGTCATGAGACATAGCGTTGGTCAACGTTGTTTGGGAAACACCGGAAATCGCTGGTGTCACTTGACTTTTAGAGAGTACGTCAACGTGTTATGAAGGAGTTGTACCTGATCTCTCATTTACCTGACAAGATGAAAGCACGTCACATTGCCTCATGATCCGATCTCTTTCCGACTGTTCCGTTTCATTTCGTTTAGTCTTTTCTCCTACATGTTGATTCAGCGTGAAACGTCAACCAATATTTCCGAGGAGGTAGTATCTATCCTGTGATATGTCACTCAGAAGTAATCGGTTGAGTGTGATTATTCCGATTGCGAGACGAATTCGGGAAATGTGCCATGTGTCTGTGGCACAATTTGTGTGTATTGACGGTTTATATGGATATATAGATGTCGTTTCAAATTGAAACAAACAGCCGGTTTCACTGCAATAGTATAATCACCACTCCAAAATGCCATAAATGGATTATAGGTCGGTGCTGGGCGAGCACACTCTATTTCAATAATCATATTGTGCAAAAATTCCTGTGCATTTTGAAACCACTCACTGAGAGTAATTATCTAGTGGGGTGGTGAAAATTTGTCCACAGCACACAAATTCAGACAGATGAACAGGTGTGTACAAGACCAAAATGAGTTAGTGCTCTACGAGTGTTGCACGTCACAAATATGTGGAAAGAAATTATGCCAGCAAGTATGACATGAAATGGAAAATGTGATCTCTCCTATGGGTTGGTTTGTAAGATTGCTGACAGCATACGTGTTTGTTACACCCAAGAATAGTCACGATAATTTATTGTTTCTTTCGCTAAAATCTGAGGATTTTTCAGAGTTTCTTGGTACTTTGTTTAGTTACCAGCCAGTTGATGTCATTTTCAACATGAAATGAACTTCGGCTTTCGCGCAATTTACAGATGGATATATGTTAATGGGCCTATATGAATGCCAGCATATCTGGGATATTTCGGCAGTTCCGAATTTCTTATGCAGTGGTTTGAGTACATCTCCGCTAAGTAAGTCGTTTCTTTTCTAAAGATTATGTGACAGAGTGTTGCACTGCTGATATGATATGTTACTGAAATGCATTGTGGTTTAAATTAGAGATGCTCTATATATGTCCAAGCTAAATTGACTTTTAGCAGTTTGAAAACATTTGAACATTGGCTATATGATATTCGTTATGATAAAGGTTTTTTGTATTTCCCTGTGAATGAAAAACAAAACTATATTGTTTCTACTGGCGTTTCGCTATTTGATGCTAATATCTTTATCAAAGTATCATTAAACCATAATTTATGAAACCTCAGCTTATATATGACAAGCGGTTTTAATACAAAACACATTTATTATAATGGATAGAGATGTTTTACTCTGTTGAACAGGTGCATTGTGTGTCAACTGAATGAATGTTAATGATACATTAACCTTATCATCATGGTCGATCTGGGAGGGGAAGAGTAGTAACAGAGCAAGTCGTGTTACTACAGGTACTAGCTCCTCCACACTGTCATACTTGCTTAATCAGCCATCTGTGAACAGAATCTACACGGCGAATTCAGTTCCCGTTAACTTCTCGCACTGCTGTTGTTGTTCTGACATTTCTGCACAGCATTAATTCAGGCAATATTTTTGATGAAGACTGATCAGAATATTATTATATATGCAGGTAACATTCACAGGAGAATAAGGTGATCGTCGTGTACTGCCGTTTAATATGCGATCAACCGTCAATTCGTCATTGTCATGATGCATGAATGTTCAGCTTTTACCTGTGAAGGAGTAATCGGTCTACAGCGGGCTAATTTTCAACTAGTGCTCCTTACAATCTCTGCCACATATCACTGATTACGACACATCTATCAGGATGAAGTCATTGTTTACACAGTTACAAAGTGGCTGGTTTTTACTTTTAGTGTTGATCAGAGTTAACTAATCACGCCTTCAGTGGAGCATTCGAAAATTTTTTACTCGGTTCTCAATAGAAATTCGAACCACCGTACTGATATACACTATACTGTTAAAGCACGAATGTGCTCATATCTCATTCACATATGACGAATGGATATATCCGTAAAATCAGTGTAAACTGGTGTAAATGGTATATGTGAAAGCAGAGTGCACTGATTTAGGCAAGATACATGAATGTTATTTCTGCTTCAGTGACAGTCTTCCGAGTTGCGTTTGAGAAGACAATTCCCCAGTGCATATCATAGTTTCGTGCTGTGGACAATCTTGCTATATCAGTATCAACAATTATCCATATAAAGTATTCACCTCCTCGACTGTTAAATCTACGTGTTATTTTATCTGCGTTATTTATAATTCCCCAGATGATTTATACTTCCATCTTATGTTTCCTTTTTATCACAACTCGTCAAACCTCGTTTAATCGAAGGGTTTATCTAAAACTACGTATTCAACCTAGATCAATATAATCCATCTCCTTGTTATTTAATGATAAAGTCGTCCAAATTATGTGAGGCAAGCAATCAGAAAGAAAATATATATTACTAATATGATATCGAGGATTATTCTGTAAAACTATGAAATTTAGAACTGAGGTCAGTCCGGTTGTGGAATGTCTTGAAGAATTTATTATTATGAAACAACCATCAGACAGTATAAAATGACCATTTCCATTCTTAAATCACTTTGACGCCAGAATATCAAGTGAATTCATGCGAATAACTCAAAATATATTAGGTAGGTCTAGATGCACTGTTTCTCAACAATGCAGTACAAAACAGGCAAACAAGCACAGACCGAATATGCGGATAAATAATATGTGTAAAATTTACGCCCTTTCAGATAGCTCTGTGTATTCAGCATGAGTTAAAATGTAAAGAATGAATAATGGAAAAACAAATTGATTTGGAGAAAGTGAAAATCCACCAGTAGTTCAATAATATTTTTCACTAGTGAGCATGCTAAACAAATGTCTTTAAACCGAAAACAAATTCACCTAAATTTGAAATCAAATACTCTAAAAATGAGTTCACCTGACAGGTATTGTTGATGATGGGAATAATGAGAGAAAGTTGTGTTCATGAAACACCTCGAAATATTAAAGGTTATGAAAACTCTGTTGTTGTGACTGAAATTACAAGCTAGTAGAATATGAGCGCTGTTCAGTCTGTATTATCGCCAGCATCAAAACACGAATGGAAAGCCTGGAGGTCTATTAGAGAGCTTTTACTTTCTCAAACAACAGTCTAAATGCTATTCATTATCTCTGGTTGTGGACATTTAGAATGACGTTGAAACTGCAGTAATTCAGTGATCTATTCAGTGAATAAACGGCTAATGGCAATCCATCCATCCAATCAGTCATAAACAAAGGCCTCACGCCAATTCACGATAACTCTTTTATTGATTATTTCAATGTTTTAGGCAGAATAAGAAAAATCATGTCTATCAATATTATGCAAACATCTGAGTAATTCTGTAGGGCACCGGCAAGCTCATTGGAAAATTACCAGCAGAAATAGCACGCAGCTGTACTATCGATCCACAAACACATCAGATATACTCCCTCCACAATTGTCGTCCTCGAGACTTCTGTCACATACAATGCACCTGTCAACCAACATTGATTGAATCACACAAACAACACAGATCATTGACATGATCATTCATCGACCGATCAATTCTCTGTCAGTCAATGACACTTTGACTCGTGAAACCCACTATTTAAAGCGAAGGCATTGTCCGCTTCAGTCGTACAACTTAACAAGCAATCAACTGCTTCACGATGCATGTGAGTTTCTACTATGTGATGTGTATATGCAGTTCTGTGGAATAATCACCTTGACTCGAGTGACGTAGTTAATACTCTCCCTCTACAGAGTGCGTATGACGCGCTCCGATGAACTGGCCAACTTCATAATACAACCACCACTCTCACTCAACATCAGATATTCACCACACCTTCGATGAAATAAGTCACACTCGAATTCCTCGATGTGATCAGCTCAGTGTCACATCATCACAGTGACACGCAACTGTTCATCCTCATCAATATTTCGAGAAATAATTTTGAATCCGATTTCTGGAGTGCAGTTTCAAGTGTTTCCTTCTCATTTTAGGCGAAATTCCTGATCGTCTTTTCTCTCGTCTTCCTGACAGTGGTCTTCTCCGAGGCAGCGATCGGTGAGTTGATATATGCGTTGTTCACCTTAATCAGTACACTGTGTGTATGATGTTGGATTGTGCAGTCTTCTCTCATCGAATATGCATACAACGAAGTTTGATTGTCGCATTAGTCAGTAGAGACACAGTTGAACGACAATCAGCTTGTATTATTGCTTCCGATAAGCATTTCAATCTGATCTTCAAGCATAACTGAAAGACTTCCGTAATCGAGAAGTAATGTGTCGGAATGATTCCTTCTTTGAGAGTAATGCCAATTCATAATGCTAGCTAGATTCCTACTGGTTGGTACTGCAATTAATCCACTTCGATCCACATGTGTACGCGGAATCCTCAGATGATGGCGTCTTCGAAATATCAGCCAGTGCTTTGTGAATATGCGCAAACACACACTACTAACTGTGATGTGACAGGGTGAGCCTGACAAATGTAGTAAAATCGCGTGTGTGTGTGCGTGTGTGGGATAGGGCACTGTGGTGTGGAGTAGGGTTGGAATCGATTATGCTCACAAATCAGTTTGATTTACCAGTATGCACTTCAAGAACACAAAACGTTGAAGTGGCCAACGAATAACAATCCAACCAATCAACTCACTAGTTGACGAATTCTTTCACACTTATTCGAAGTGAACATGCATCTAAATAATTCTGTATACAGTAGTCAGACACCTGATGTAATTAGAAGGTGAAACCCCATGTACTTTCGAATATACTTATATTCATTCGCACTTTTTCTCTCACTGCTTATTTCATTTGTTCAGCTTTGAGTGAGAAGGAGAGTGAGGAGTTGGAGAAGATCAAGTCGACCGACGAGTTTAAGAATGCCAAGGCCAAAGTTCTTGAAGCGATATCATCGAAAATAGATGAATTCGTACTTAAGAACCTCCGTGAGAATGCAGCTGGTACAGAAGAATGATTGTTGGATTGGTTATCATCCTTCACATCGGAAGAATGCTTGATCACTATAGGGGCCTCTGATTCGTTTCTCACGCTCTTCTTCACTCGTCTTTTTTTTATATATTATCTTCTGAATGTCTGTATGTTTTTTACCCATGTGAATTTATTAATGACATATTGTGTGTCTCTCTTCCCGTTTGTTTGGTTCTGTTTGACATTGAATCAATAACTTAGTTACACTACTGGGAAATTAAGATATTTTAACTGCATATATGTTGTAACAAATTATTCGTCATTACGAGAATGTGATTAGTCGGTTCATTTCTTAATTATGTTATTTAATGATATATCGCTTATTTGAATGGCTTTTGATCATACTATAACTTCATATATACACACTAAAATGCTTACACATCTTTTGGAATCAGGGTGGTGGCCCATATGTGAAAGAATAGAGAAGCACTTAAGAGAAATATACCTGACGGAGCTACTGTACATGGATAGGGTTTACATTTTGTGAATGCCACTAATTTCATCACCATTCATCGCTGCCAAGGAAATATCGTTTCCTATTGGGGTGACGTCGTTGCGGTTTAAAGTAATATATTTACTGTTTCAATAATTTGCTAAAAATTAGGAATGTTTGAGAAATCAAGAGTGACAATTTTGAAAGTGTTCAATTTCAAGGAAGATAATCCATCGTGTGCATTACTTCTACAAACTTTGATGAATATTATGTGAGACCAAACTATTAAACAAATTCGCTTGGACGATTATAACTATGTTGCATGCTGATGGCTTCACCCAGGAGTAAATGATACTTGTCCCACTATATTTCGGAATATTTGACCAACCACTTAACCGAGAGATCTTGGCTTCGTCTGCATAAAGTGTAATCATTTGGAGAAGAAGGACCGAAAACTCCTGAAGAACGAACGACCACATTTGATATATCCTTCGGGAGAAGAGTAAACTTCAAACCATACTACCAATATTTTAGATTTCAGAGCCTCCCTAAGCCCGTCAGCTACCACAGTTGGAAAAGCAGTAGTGTGTAAAGTTCTTGGAATGCATTTCAGTGTAAACTTCAGTAATTATACCGATGGAGAACATTGGCGAATAAGACACAGATAGAAATCATGTAAATGAAGAAAATGACATAGTTTTCCAGCTAAATCAGGATTAGGATAAACCTGGACTGTGTGTTTTTGTTGGGACTTGTTTACCAATGTATTCCTTGATTTTATTTCTTTAAAACTGATTGGGTTCTATTGTGAACTCCTATTTTTGTGCATGAATACTGGTGCTGTCTGCAGATGCTGTAAGTGCTTGGAATTCGATGAACCCGAGGAAGGTAAATCGGCTAAATAAGCATTATCGAATGGTGGACCATAAAGCACATATTCAATAAAATTTTGAAATGTTTGGATTTCATTTGTTAATCCGTATACCATATAATTTTATTCGGCACATTCAAATAGAGTATTGCAAGCATTTTTGTGAACATCACTCAATTTCGGTAGATAAGCCTATGAAAAAAGTTTGACGGTTGATAAGGAGCTTACCAAGTCGTGTACATGTTTGACATATCTGCATTTCATCACACTTATTTCTAGAAACAAAGACAGGACATTTTTTGTAAATGTGGTACGTTATTGTTCGCTTAAGACACGTTGTACGGTTATCATTTAGCGTCAGCTCTTGAAATTCCTTAATCAAAATGATGAATAAAGATATTCCAGCCTTCGTGCATATTACCAGTTCACAGTTATTGGCGTATGTGAGTATAAATGATTTAATGACCATTACTATAACAACATATCTGTCAGTGGTATCTGGAGTCATTTATCAACACACAGTGCTGAAAGGAATGGATTCAGATAACTGGAAAATCATGCGGTTGGTGTACACTGACACAAGTCTTTGCTCTCGGATAGATAGGAAGTATTAATCACATTTGGGAGTTTTTGGTGGAAAAAACGTGTGTAAATAGATTAAAAAACAGTAAGACGCCAGAATGTGAATAAGTTTCGAAGGCAGAATACCATTTTCATCCATAGAAGAATCGAATCTGCGGTAAGGACTCTCACACACGGTCCGAGGTTCGATCCCCAGCGGACGCACACCTGATATCAATTGGTAGGCATGCGAAATTTGGGCTACCGATATCATATGCTGAAAATTTCATACTTGTATCAATAATACAGTGTAAAAATCAAGCTATAATCGAAAAAGAAAAAACAAACATAAATCATAAGGTTAATGTTTTAATAAGTTTTAAAATGTTACATATTGGCGTATAAAGAAATATTCTGAAAACAAAAGCAGTCTTCAAATGAATTAATGCGTTTGGAAGTGATTCATTATAAACAACAGTAATAATCTTTTATCCAACCATAAAACCAGCATAAGTATGCGGTACTATCCTCCATACGATCAAATATCCTTTAAATTTATTTTTCTAAGTGATCTTTTATTTCTTAACTCATAGAAAATACCAATTGTAACATATAGAAAATCAAAAGAAGTGATTCAACGAAGAGATTCTTTTCAACGAATTTATCATCAAGCTGTACAGTCATAAATACACGGTTTTGTTAAGAAGTTACATCTGGCGAGGGAATTGAATTATATGACATTTGCTTTGCCACATGACATCATAGAAATTCCTACTCTCTTGAAATAACACATTATGCAACAGTCGAAGCACTGATATCATGGGAAAATGTATTTCGCTGTCGAATCCACATGACTAGTCTTATTCCTGAGGACTAATTCAAACTAGTTGTATCCACGAAGAAATAGAATGAAGCGAATCGAAGACGCTCGACCTTTCGGACTACACACAAACGACACAATCGAATCACATACACACAATGCATTGATTGAGACTAACCACACATATATAACAACTTACCGTTGGCAGCATCGGAGAAGACTACGCTCAGGAAGACGAGAGAAAAGACGATCAGGAATTTGGCCTAAAATGAGAAGGAAACATTTGAAAGTCCACTGTAGTTATCCCATTGAAAGATGTCTGTTGCATTGTTGATGTAATTGTTACAGTGAATGGATGACACTGGGGATTGTAAGTGTGAATGATTCTAGCGGAGGTATGTGGACGGACGAATTGGAGTGAAGTGAAATGACGTGAAGCGACAGCGAAAGTGGTATGTTATTGTATGGAGTGGTGTGATTTGGCATGGTTTGGAATGGAAGTGTATGTCGTGATGAAGTGTCTTGTGTTTTGATGTCGTGTTTTGTGTTGTGTTCTCGTGTGGTGTGGAGTTATATGTTATGTTTTGTAGTTCCCTGTGGAGTAGACGAGTATAGTGTAGAACTAAGTAGTGTAGTGCAGTGCGGACTTCTTTAGTCACTTGAACTAGCCCTATCATACGATGAACAAAACGAGTATCAGCCACATCGCTCTCGTCAACGCCATCATTTCACAAAAGTCTACATAGATGTCACTTAGTAAAGACTCACATGCATTATGAAGCAGTTGGTTGCTCGTTAAGTTGTACGACTAAACCGGACAATCCCTTCACCTTATATACTGAGTTTCATGAGTCGAAGTGTCATTGACTGGTAGAGAATCGCTTGGTGGGTGAGTGTTCACGTCAATCATATGTGTTGTTTTCGTGATTCAATCAGAGTGGTTGACATGTGGATTGTCTGCATTGTGCATTGACAGAGGTCTCGTCGACAACAACAACAACAACCAGTATATCATGTGTTTGTGGATCGATAGTACACCGGGGTGTAATCTGTCACCATGAGATTCACTTGATGTCTGTGAAAATTATTTCCGTCGACCGGTTATTGTCTTCACATAAGGTGAAATATACTAAAATGATTTCTCATGTTGACAACTGTAAATGATTAGAAATGATGACAGGAATGTGGCTCTCTCGATTTGCATTATTTCGCATCTCACCAGACTGACGTCAACAACAAGCTCAACGGTTCCAGATAAACCCTGAAGAAAACACGCTACTAATCATCAGTCTTCTCAAAAGGGGAGGTGATATATATCCACATAATATGCGTGTTTATTTGACAGCCTGTTATATTTTCCTATGTATATATGGATCGATATTTCATTATAATTAACAATCATGTTAAGACTGACTATTCATTCGTTCATTTTGAACATTCGCTCATACACTTGTGTTCACACACTTGTTCGAACATTCATACTATTTCACTCACACCCTTGTGTGACATTGATTCTCCTGGTGTTTTGGAAAATACAAGTCTCATCGCAAACCTAGTGGTCTTCTGATTTCCGCCTCCTTGCGTCAGGACTTTTAATTACTCGACCAATACATAAAAATAATTTGGCGACGGGGAAAAAACTAATAATAACTCACTCACCAGCAGTACATAACAGTTTGCCAATCCACACTTGTGTGTGCTAGCGTGTATATAGGAGGCAGCCATCAAACTGTGGAGGTTGGGGATAGAGAAGCGATACTTAAGTGGCCTTATAAACAGATGGAACCTCCCGAACTCCTCAGGCTAAATTCAAAGAATATCGCGTTATTCGTGCGAATTTGTATCAACCAGCTTCAAAAACACTGGATAAATTAACTGATAAGAAAATACTGATATTGTAACAACAGAAGACAAGCGCGAGGCAACAGATCCTTTATTAAGGAAATCAAAACATATCTACAGATTTTCATGCACATATTATAGATTATTGTGAGCAGAAAAACACAGTCCACTGATTTGTCGTTTCTCACAGAATGTTAACCTTGCATCTCTTTGTGGCTGTTTCTTGAATTTCAGATAATCTACATGTTAACTGTATCCGCCTAGGTAAAGCCTTTGTTCCCACTTTTCTCACGAGAAATATTAGAGACAAAACA